ATGAGGGCAATAGTCCGATTATAAATAGTGTAAATAAGTTCATTGTTCTTTACTTTAGGCGAGAAATGCTTTCTAAATTATTTTAATGTAGAAATGCATTGAAAATTATTGTATTGTAGTTGTCATTGCAATTATTTTACTAAAGGAATACCTCTCTGTCTAATTTTTCATTTGCTGTAAGTTATATTTCAGAACAGCATTATGAATTACTTCATTGAAAGAATTCTTGTAAACTATTTAATGTAGAAAAGCATTTCAAATAATTTTCTATAGTAATGCCCTGCAAATTATTTCGTACAGAAAATACAATATATATTACTGAAAAACTGACTTTGATATATTGTGAAAGAGTTAAAAACTCGTTTTCAAGTAATATTTAATATAGCGGACACTATTCACGAAACGCTATGTCAAGACTGCCATTGACTTTAATTTTGCTAACACAGATTCCACAAATATTGGTACGAGTTGGGATAATTGAACGAACCATTTTGGTGTTCTTACGTTGTTCATTTCAGAAATTCCGAAAAAAATATTTCTCAATATTCAAGGTTAATAAAAAGATGATTTCAAAACTTTTGTCTTTGATGATGATGATGATGATGATTCCCACCATATTTGATTTTTCGCGCCAGTAAAAACATAAAGAAAAAATGATGAAAATATATGGCATAGTTGTGCAATAAGCATTGCCACCAGAAAAGATAAGTTCGTAAATAAAAAAAATTAAAAATTGAAATTCATAAATAAAATAAAATAAAAAATTTAAATTCTTAAATAAAAAAATAAAATATTGAAATTAGTAAATAAAAAAAAAATTAAATTTAAATTACTAAATGAAAATGATATAAAATTGAACTACGTAACTTGGAGTTGGTTTTGCATATATTTTGAGTCTAAGCTTTATGGAACCTTCACTCGGAAGCTGAGAGCTATACTTAACATCTGGAAGCAACAACTTACTAAATCACAGTTTCTATGGACCCATGTGAATATTTTCAGTGGAAATAGCGAGAGAACAGCGATGAGGTTGTCGAAAAGAGGTTGTAGGGTTGAAAATAATTTATCCTACACAAGACCTCGTAAACGCTATTGCATGAGACGAGGATAAATTTCTTCACTAATAATTTATTATTATTTTTCAAGAGGAGTAGATAGATTCGTCTATCATCCGATACACTCGCTTCCCAGGTTTTTTTTAATAGGAGTAGAGGTTTATTTGCATTAGTTACATTATTCAGACTGTTATCATTATCTTCATTGCCATATTCACAACGTTTCGGCCTCTATATCTCTGAGATGAGGTATTATAATTACTTGTATTATTTGCATTATTAGGACACTTATAATCTCATCTTCACTGACATATTCTGAACGTTTCGACCGTTTTACGTTCCGGCCTTCTTCAGGTGATTGGAATTGCGAATCGAACCATTTATTTCATCCACCTGGGTAGATTATTCTAGTTCCACGTGTCATGCCTCTTCCGGATGTCTCAGTTATTTCCTTTTAACTCAACTCCCCAAGTATATTGGTTCACCCCTGCTGTAGCCAGGTATTAAACTCTCAACTCTTTTGGGTCTAGTCACTAGACGAAATTCCGATCACCTGAAGAAGAGCGAAGCGTACAACGGCCGGAACGCTGTGAATATGGTATTGAAGATGAGAATAACAGTCCGAATAATGTAAATAATTATAATGCCTCATCTCAGAGATATAGACGGAGTAGAGGTTTGCCTCTTATTTCTTGTTTTTTCTCTTTCACTTCCGGTAGTTTCTTAGTGTCTTGCTTCTTAATCTCTAACCCTTTATCTTGGACCGTATACAAGGTGAACATTATTGTACAAAAAATCTTGTCGAGGCTCAAAAATGGGGATAGGTCAACTCAAATAGTTTTTTTTTAATCATTTCATCCCAAACAAAGCAGTAATGCCAAAAGAACGCATGAAGTTACAGGGAATTAAAGTAAAATCGAATAAAAATACTGAGTATAGGGAGGATTGACAAAAGAACAACCGATGAACGGGATTCAATGCTACAGAAAATGGCAATTGACACTACATATAAATTTTTGAAAATTGTAGTTTTCAGGGAAGCGAGAAAAAGGAAGGGAGTCCCGCAGGTGAGAAGTGCGAGAAAAAAATATGCAGGAGTAGAAGTGACGGTTGCATTTAGCTATTTCAAATGTAAAACGGTAGGACCAGGTTACCAATCTAGAAGCACATTTAAATTCATATAGTCGGGCACCAGGGTAAAAATGTCACCAGAACAGTTAACATTACAAAAATTATATTTGTAGAAAAGACAGAGGAAAGCCACGGCACATCTATGAGAAAGTGACTGATGTCGCGATATGGCAGCAATACTCCATTTTATGTCTACTCTGACTCTAGTACAGATACGGCAAACGGAGTCAGTATTTTTCTGGTGCAGTACAAGGACCCGGTCATTTTCCCAGCATCTTTAAATGTAATAATCGTATGTTACATTATCTGTCTATATTTCTGAGATGAGGTATTATGTACACTACTTACATTATTCGAACTATTGTCCTCATCTTTGTTGCAATATTTCTTACAGCGTTTCGGCCCTTCAGTATCTGTCTATATTTCTGAGATGAGGTATTATGTACACTATTTACATTATTCAGACTATTGTCCTCATCTTTGTTGCCATATTTATTACAACGTTTCAGCCCTTCAGTATCTGTCTATATTTCTGAGATGAGGTATTATGTACACTATTTACATTATTCAGACTATTGTCCTCACCTTTGTTGCCATATTTATTACAACGTTTCAGCCCTTCAGTATCTGTCTATATTTCTGAGATGAGGTATTATGTACACTATTTACATTATTCGGACTATTGTCCTCATCATTGTTGCCATATTTAACACAACGTTTCGGCCCTTCAGTATCTGTCTATATTTCTGAGATGAGGTATTATGCACACTATTTACATTATTCGGACTATTGTCCTCATCTTTGTTGCCATATTTATTACAACGTTTCAGCCCTTCAGTATCTGTCTATATTTCTGAGATGAGGTATTATGTACACTATTTACATTATGCAGACTATTGTCCTTACCTTTGTTGCCATATTTATTACAACGTTTCAGCCCTTCAGCATCTGTCTATATTTCTGAGATGAGGTATTATGTACACTATTTACATTATTCGGACTATTGTCCTCATCATTGTTGTCATATTTAACACAACGTTTCGGCCATTCAGAACGTGTCTATATTTCTGAGATGAGGCATTATGCACACTATTTATATTATTCGAACTATTGTACTCATCTTTGTCACCAGCAGTCTACCTCAGTGAGCGAAATAAATGGTTTAGTTTGACATTCTAACCACCTGAAGAAGGCTGGAGCGTACAACGGCCGAAACGTTGTAATAAATATGGCGAAAAAGATTAGGACAATAGTCCTAATAATATAAATAGTGATTGTTGATAATTTGATCAAATCCATGAAAAATCGATTACAAGCACTGAAACTAGCAAATGGAAGACCATACTAGTTCCAAATACTGTTTATTTATATTGAGCAGAGATTACGGGATTAAGTTTTGAAATTGGATGTAATATATTTCTCCTGGATAAAACCTTTTATTTAGCCACTGTATGGCCTACATATACTTGTAAGGATGCTGAAGTTCAGTTTGTCCGGAGTGCAACCCTAGGACCGGACCTGGTGAGATCGAAAAAACATTTTGGAAACGCTATCACCTGGTTATGTTTAATTGTAATTTTAACTTGAAAATTTTAATAGCAATAGAAAATGTTGATAGGTTTTAACTGCGAATACATGTACAGTAATTTGTCTTAATTAATAACTAAATATTAAATAATGTTTTAGGGATCTTTGAATTATATAATTATTTACTAATTTAATCTAATTGTATTAATTTGTAATTTACATATTGGCAAGTGTTTTTGTAGTACAGCCGAGCGGTTAGTATTGCCCGTCATCAGGACAATACACCTGTATCAGGAATAAACCATTTCAGTTGTTGCTTGCTTCATTTTTGTCCGTTCTAAATTAGTAAAGTCGTTCCTACTTCCCTTGAAAATGGGCACCTCGGCGTGGTGTAATGGTTAACAAGCTTGCCTCGCTAGATCAGTTACAACTGAAAAAGTGAGATCGATCCTCACTAGATGCCCCATACTTTCGGCCTTGTGCCACATCTAATCTACGCTTGAAAAATCTCTACTTCCCTAGAAAATCAGCATTGGAACATTTTTTTTTTTTTTAACTCCGCCTCTGACAGTATCAACTGACATGAAAAATAAAGAACGTCATTTGGCTGTCCTTCTTCGTACTTCTTCTCCCTGTATCATCCGTCAGATTTCTTTTTTGTCAGTTGTTATATTTACATTGTTTTTAACCAAATACAAGGCCCAAGAACAACTCAAGATAGAGGGTTAGTAAATGATTTTGAATAGATATGTATGAGGAGGATGTAAGCGGAGTTTATAAGAATATGTAGAATAATTAAAATTTCACCCACGACTTGAATAGTAATTATGAAAACATCCTTTCTGGAGATTGTTCCACAAAGTAGCGATTCTAAGAAGCTTTCGGAATATCGGAATCTTTCCCGTTTTATCTCATGTTCATTTCTTCCATATTTCTTTTATGCTAAGCTTCCATCTTTTTGCAATTCTGATACAAAAGCCTGCTTTTTTTTCTTCTGCCAGTTTACAGGACGAGGTGGGTGACCGGTACAACGCATCAGGCAAAGGAATAAATGAAACGAAAATCTTTGGTCACAGCTGCTAAATTCTACACCGCGTTTTAGTCGCCCGGCATTCGACCAATTCTATTTTATTCTCTTCAACTGAACCCTGTCAATACTAGCAAAAGTTGCCACGATCACAACACAACAAATAAAATGCTAAAAAAAAAAAAAAAAAAAATGGCGTTCTAAGCGGTGTTGTAGTCAAATCCTTCCCTTTTTATTACTTTGCCTGCTCCACCTTCTACCGGTGCCGGCTTTGGATCTGTCACACCGCTGAGCCAGGGACATAATCTGCTGACAGTATAATTTACACGTTTGCCGACATTTTGACGACTGTGTTATTTTTCTTTGAAATTTATAGATTTTTTTTTTATATCGTCATATTTTATAATTTTTTCTTTTTGCTTTTTTTCAGTTTCATTTTTTGACTTGTTTCTGTAATTCTTATGAATTAATCTATTGTTTTGCTGTCTTTGTAAATTACTCATTCTGTTTGCATTTTTTTTTTTTAGAATCAGTCTCTTTTTTTCATATAGATATTCTTCATTATTTTATACCATTATAATCATTCCAACTTTCTTTCGACGCTAGAAGTTTTGATCTTTAAATGGCTTTCCTTTTTCTGTTACGTTTTCGGTTTGAAAGAAGTTTCTTTCATTTGTTCATTCTTTCTTTTGAATTTTTTCTTTCTTTCTTACTTTCTTTTATTGTTTTTTTTTTAATCTTTTCTTTAAATGCATTCCTTCCTTTTGTCTTTGTGCATTTTGTTTTACTTTCTGTCTTGTTCGCTTTTATCTTAAATTTTTCTTCCTTCTTTCATTTCTTTCTTTCTTTCATTCTTTCTTTCTTTCTTTCTTTCTTCCACTTTTTTTCTTCTTTACGCCTGTTTTTTATTCCTAATATTTTCATAATTTTCTTGCTTTCTCCAGGATTTCTTTTCTCATTTTTACATGCCGTTTTTCTTTAATCCCTCTTATGATCATTTTTATGTCCTCTCTTATTCTATCTCCCTTCTTTCTTTCTTTCTTTCTTTCTTTCTTTTTTCTTTCTTTCTTTCTTCATTTCTTTTTTATCTCTTTCTATCTTTACCTCTTTCCTTCTTTCTCTCTTTTTATTTCTTGCTTTCTTTATCTCTTTCTTTCTGTCTTTCTTTATCTCTTTCTTTCTTTCTTTCTGTCTTTCTTTATCTCTTTCTTTCTTTATCTCTTTCTTTATCTCTTTCTTTGTGCTTTCTTTTTTATCTCTTTCTCTGTCTTTCTCGCTTTCTTGTTCTCTTTCTTTTTTCTGTTTCTCTCTCACTTTCTTTATTTTTATTTATTTACCTCTTTCTTTCTTTTTTCTTTCTTTCTCGCTTTCCTTTTCTCTTTCCTTTTTTCTCCTTTTTCTCTATTTCTCTATTACGCTTTCTTTCTTTCTTTCTTTCTCATTCTCTCTCTTTCTCTCTCTCTCTCTTTCTCTCTCTGTGTTTCTTTGTTTTTCTCACTTTCTTTTTCTCTTTCTTTCTTTTTTCTCTATTTCTCCCTTTCTTTCTCTTTTTCTTTCTTTCTTTCTTTCCCCCTCTTTAATGTTTCTTTCTTTATTTTAAACATTCTTCCTTTATTTCGGCTTTTCTTCCATAATTCCTACTTCCTTTCTCGTTTCTTCCTTCATTTGCTCTGCCTTTCTTCCATCAATAATTCTTTCTTTCCTGTATTCATTCCTTCAGATTTTCATTACTTCTTCTTTCTGACTTTTGAACTTTCCTTCTCTCATTTTAATCTACTTCCTTCATTTAAACATTCTTTTTTCGGCTTCTTTTTCCCTTCAATCTTTCCTCATTTCCTTCGATCATTTCTTCTTGGCTTCTATCTTTTTTTCCTTCAATCATGCCTTCTGCTTTCCTTTCTTCATTCAGTCATTTATTATTTCTTTCTGCTATTCTTCTTTTTATCATTACTTCTTTCTTCCTGCGTTCTCTCTTTAATAATTCCCTTTTTCTATAATTCCTCTCCGCGTCTGACATCCTTCCTTCCATCCTTCCTTAATTACTTATTTTTTCCTTCCTTAATTATTTACTTTCTTTTTTCTTTCATTCCTTCCTTCCTCTTTTTTATGCCAGCTGTTCTTTTCTTCCTTCTTATTTCTTTCCTTCCTTAATTTTTTACTTTCTTCTTTCTTTCATTCCTTCGTTCCTTAATTACTTATTTCCTTCCTTCCTTTCTTCCTTTCTTAATTACTTATTTCCTTCTTTCTTTCTTTCTTTCTTTCCTTCCTTCCTTCCTTCTTACTTATTTCCTTCTTTCTTTCTTTTTTCTTTCCTTCCTTCCTTATTTCCTTCCTATCTTAATTACTTATTTCATCCCTTCCTTAATTACATATTTCCTTCTTTCGTTCCTTCCTTCCTTCCTTCCTTCCTTCCTCTCTTTCTTTATTTCCTTCTTTTCTTCCTTCCTTCCTTCCTTCCTTATTTCCTTCCTTATTTCTTTTCTTCCTTCTTTCTTTCCTTCTTTCCTTCCTTCCTTATTTCCTTCCTTCCTTAATTATTTACTTTGTTCTTTCTTTCATTTCTTCCTTCCTTTCTTTCTTAATTACTTATTTCATTTCTTCCTTTCTTCCTTCCTTAATTAATTATTTCCTTCTTTCTTTCTTTCTTTCTTTCTTTCTTTCTTTCTTTCTTTCTTTCTTCCTTCCTTCTTTTCTTCCTTCCTTATTTCCTTCCTTAATTAATTATTTACTTCCTTCTTTCTTTCATTCCTTCGTTCTTTCCTTAATTAATTATTTCCTTCCTTCCTTTCTTCTTTGCTTAATTACTTATTTCCTTCTTTTCTTCCTTCCTTATTTCCTTCCTTCCTTAATTATTTACTTTCTTCTTTCTTTCTTTCTTTCTTTCTTTATTTCTTTCTTTCTTTCTTTCTTACTTATTTCCTTCCTTTATTCTTTCCTTTGTTCGTTCTTTTCTTCATTTATTTTCCTTTATTCAGCAATTCCTACTTTCTTTCCCGTCTTCTATCTTTGTTTCATTAGTATATTTTCATTTTGCTTACCTTCATACAATAATTTATTCCTTCATTGTCTTTTTTCTTTCTCTCTTTCTTGGTGAATTATTTATTCTTTTCTTTTATCTTTCTTCCTTTTTGTCCATCGTTTCTTTCTTTCATTCGTCTTTCCTCGTTCCTTCCCAAACACGCAGGACATCTGATCACAGATCAAATTTTTCTTTCACCTTATTAAGCTTAATCTCACATCCTTGACAAGGCTTCGCGCCAGGTTGCCCACTGACTTTCACCACCGATCAAATAATCTCACCCACCACACACACACACATACATACACACACTCGCGTACACGTACCAAAAATAATTACTTTCTTCAAACTTACAAATACATATCAACTCAGTATCTCTTCTTTGCCCTCCAATTTGTTTTTAGTCAAAAGAAGGATGTATCAACGCACGATACTATCGCAAAAATATTAACCGCGTGGTCTACTGATTAGCAGCCAAATAGCGTCCAAATATTAAATTGGCATTATCTAAAGGAACCTGAGTTAAAATAGTGCAAATAGATGGCGAGAGTTGTCCCAATACTGGATGTAGGTGTATCGCGACAGTTATCGGCGCCGCAAATCGGACTGGCGTGACGAGTGCAAATTCCAACCGAGGCGTCTCGAGGCGAGTCTAGTGCAAATAACAGCCAAGCTCTCTGCGTGTCGAATCGAGCCGAGAGCAAATTCCAGCCGAAGTCTCTGCGTGTCAAGTCGAGTGCAAATTTCAACCGAAATTTCGAATCAAATGTAAATTCCAATCGAGGTCTCTGCGTGTCAAGTCGAGAGCAAATTCCTAATGAGGTCTCTAGGTGTTAAGTCGTATGCAAATTTCAACCGAAATCTCTGCATGTCGAATCAAATGTAAATTCCAGTCGAGGTCTCTGCGTGTCAAGTCGAGAGCAAATTCCTAATGAGGTCTCTAGGTGTTAAGTCGTATGCAAATTTCAACCGAAATCTCTGCATGTCGAATCAAATGTAAATTCCAATCGAGGTCTCTGCGTGTCAAGTCGAGAGCAAATTCCTAATGAGGTCTCTAGGTGTTAAGTCGTATGCAAATTTCAACCGAAATCTCTGCATGTCGAATCAAATGTAAATTCAATCGAGGTCTCTGCGTGTCAAGTCGAGAGCAAATTCCTAATGAGGTCTCTAGGTGTTAAGTCGTATGCAAATTTCAACCGAAATCTCTGCATGTCGAATCAAATGCAAATTCCGACCGAAGTATCTGCGTGTCAAGTCGAGAGCAAATTCCTACTGAGGTCTCTAGGTGTTAAACCGAGTGAACATTCCAACCAAGGTTTCTGTTTTTGTTTAAGAGCACCAAAAATTGTCAGTCCCCAGTACTTACTTGAAGAAGAAATATACAAAGAAAACATTTTCAAAACCCACCAATATCCTCATCCACAAGAAAGAAATATAAAATATACACCCGCAAAAAAGATAATAAGAACATTTGCAATGACAATAAACTAAATAAAAACAGACATAATCAGTCATTTATGTGTCACTCATGATACACGCTTAGCCGATCATGTATCTTTCCATACATGACTGACGAGGCAGATTTTTTATCACAATTTCTTTCTGTGGTAGACTAGTTTCCATTCAAGGCTATAGAAACCAGCCTGTCCTGCTATTTACCCATAGCTGAGGGAGAAGAAGAGGGTTCACATATTTTCCAAGGGTATTAGCACGTAAGTGAATGTAATGGATTCGATTAGAATTCGAACTCGGCTCTCCGATTCCTGAATGCTAGCCGCTATCCATTACTCCACCATACCTCTTCATCTAACACTCTCTACTAACTCACTAACATCTACTACCCAAAACAATTTATCCAATCTTAATAATATCAAAATAATTCCAACCACATCCAAAACTGTTATGGATATAAGAACCCCAAATAGAGATAACAATAATAATTATGGAACAAATACATTGAGTCAATAGCTTCATCCAACGCAAGGAAAGTTGGCTCCATGTGCCGCGCCAGGAAATTTTTCTCGCCGGAATCGATCCTTCAAATCTACAAATCAACCATTCGCCCTTGCATGGAGTATTGCTGCCATATATGATCTAGGGCCCCTTATGTTTGTCTCAGAGTTCTTGATAAGATCCAGAGACGGATATGCAATATAATTGGCACTGATCTGGCATCTCGTCTGAAGTCGCTCTCTCACAGACGTTCCATCGCCTCCCGCTGTCTTTTTTACAAATATTTTCACGGTAACTGCTCCGATGAACTGCTTTCGTTGGCTCCTAGACTTCATGAATTTAAGCGTTCTACTAGGCTGGCATCTCGCTCTCACGCTTTCACTGTCGAAACTGTTAAATGTAGCCGTCTCTTCTACTCCAATAGCTTCATGTCTCGCATTTATCTCCTGTGGAACTCCCTCTCCATTTCTTGTTTTCCTGATAGCTATAATCTCCAATTAATTCAAATATAATGTCAATCGACGTCTCCAGATGCCCTGATCTATCCCCCTATCCTTCTCTTTATCCTTTCCTCTATCACTCCTATTTGCTCTCGCTCCAACTCTCTGTAACCCCTTGCGTACTAGTGGCTTCCCGCCTTGCCTGGGGTGAAACGCTTAAAAAAAAAAGAAAAGAAAAAATAAAGGCATATATAAAATAAATAGCCATAACTGCTTCTTACAATAAATTGGGAAAACTTATAGAAGATCAAATCTCTGAACACAAAAAATGATATTATACATAACAATTAATCATTTGTCATACATAAAATAAATCCAACCACAACTTTGATGTAAATAATGCCCCACTTATTAAAAGAGAATCTTTCTTACTTACACGGAAAATTTCCGAGTGCTTCTATATAATTTCATCAAAATATAAATCTGTGTCGAAGAATTTTCAAATATCTACGTTCCTGGAAGAATTATTATTTTCCCTAGGGGCCATGACGCAAGAGAAATAATAAAGAAAACCGTTTAATTTATAATATCATCTTATTTAAAATATATAATACATAAATTAATCTTAAATTAAAACAATTTAAATATTAATTGCGTAAAATAGAAACATTCAACTTTATTTACTCAGTTTCGTTTATTAGACATTAAATTACGTCACTTAGTGTCATCCATAATTTACCTAGAATTTACAGTTTACCTACTAAATATTTCTGAGCTTCTCGGGTAAGTTTTCGTTTTGTCTTTGTTCACACACACACGCACAAACACACACACACACACACACATGCACAAACACACACACGCAAACACACACACACACATATATATATATATATTCTGTGAGAGCGAGAGAAAGTGACAGATATTTAAAGGCTGATCCTGCAGAATAGGAAATATAAGAAAATTTTGCAAAGTGCTATTTTGACATGTTTTGTCGATGAACCTGTGTCATCGATTTTATAATGACGCCAGTTGACTAGAGAAACGCGTCTAAATGGAACTTTTCAACACACACACACACACACACACACACACCTATATATATATATATATATATATATATATATATATATATAGAAAAAGTTTCAAATTGAAAATTATAATGTTTTATTTTATGAAAGTATTTATTTATTTATATATATATATATATATATATATATATATATATATTTATATATTTATTATATATATATATATATATATATATATATATATATATATATATATATATATATATATATATATATATATATAGTGGAAAGTCTGTGACAAAGTGACAAAAAATCTTATGTCACGCGTTTTCTCTTTTATAACTTCATCGGAGTAAAGTGAGATTCACGTTGATGCGAGGATTTTAAATTTAAGTGTCATTTTTTTTTTTTGAAAAATTTAATAAATATTTTCGTTATATAATCTAGCAGATTGCATTTAGTTATTGTTTCTTTTCTTTTGTCAAGCTTCTATCACATTTGGTATTAAATCTCTCGTATTGTGATAATAGAACATCAGCCAAGAAAGATGAAACGTTGTAAGAATGTCTTTCAGTAATCTTTCCTTTGCTTCCCGTTTCTTAATAATTTACTTAGCTTCTGGATAACATCTTTCGCTATCCCAATGCGCCTTGCGATTTCGTTGTTGCATTTTCCACGCCCTGTTGAAACACCTCCTAAATATTTAAATGATTTTACTGGCTAGATTTTGATATTTTCAATTTTTAATTTCCATGTTGGGCTGACAACCATTTGTTCTGGTTTCTTGCAATCATCGTCTAGTCCTTTCTTCTCGCTTTTATTCACCACGCTCTGGAGTTTTTGTCATGGCCTTTCTGTATTCGTTATCATTGTGTTAAAAATGCATATCTTATGTTATTGATACCATGGGCTCTAAGAATAAATCCAGATTAGACTTCTAATTCTCTCAGAATAGACTCACTGTATAAGTCCGGTAAGAAGGCACATCCTTGTCTTAGGTCCCTTTCTATTTATGTATAGTAACTGCATTCATTTTCTAATCACACGCAGATTGTTAGTTCTCAGTATATGTTCCGGATTATTCTAATACCCTTCCCAAATTAGTTAAATAATCTAAATTCAAAGCTTTACCTTTTAAGTATATAGGAAAAGACGCATATGGGTCAAGAAATGGCTTCTAAATTTAACCCCTGCTGCGTATCAGGATAACCTACATTCGCGTCCTGGGTAAGACGATAAACGCAATCCAACAACAAGACCTCTGATCAGGAGGTTTTGAGGAGCGTGGAACCACCTCTTAATTGCTGGCGTTCCCAAAACCACCCTGATCCGGGGTGATAGCCCCTCTTAGGGGTCCAATCTATGAGCAAATAGGCAACACCCAAACTTGTGTAAGCGTCCTGGGTATGACGATAAACTGCATCCAAGTCCTTGGTATGAGGATAAACTGCATCCGTGTCCTGGGTAAGACGATTAACTACGTCCAACAGCAAGGCCTCTGATCAGAAGGTTTTGAGGAGGGTGGAAGCCCCTCTAAATTGCTGGTGTTCACACATCCTTCCTGAACGGGTGTGGTAGCACCTGTTAGGGTCCCATTTATGGGCAAATAGTTAACTCCCAAACTGGGGTCAAAACAAAGTGTAAAAATAGGTTTCAATACCAGAAATACTTTGTAAAAAATTATTACCAGCAAGAAATTTATGAAGAAAAAATTATTACCAGCAATACATTTAAAAAAACCATATTGCCAGCAAGTTTGCGAGAATAAAATTACCAGCTATACATTTTTGAAAAAATATTAA